TTTTTGCAGCGCTAATACTGCCGCCTCTGCCTCTAGGAGCCAGGGAGAGAGGAGGCCCACATTTTTATGGACGTCTCCAAGTCAAAAATCTCCATAAATAAATAAAACTTAGAGCTGCACTGCACTGGAAAAAAAACATTCAATAAATTACTGGCTTGGAGACAGCAACAGAGAATCGAATACTTTACAATGGGATTAGGCAGTCATTACTGAAGGCTTGACAGCAACATGGCTTTCACAGGCAACGCTATTGAATAGACTGTGCCACTGCGTCATCAGCCCCTTGCTACATGAACCGAAGTAAACTCCAGTGGGCTGTCGCTGCAGAAGAGCTGCCTTGTAATGAACATTAAAATCAGGACCTTGTCTCCAGCCAGCGGTCGAGTGAGAGGGGCTGAAAAGAATTCTGGATCCAGCCCCAGGTAAATAAAACACAGGTTAAAGATCAAGGTTAAAGGAGGGAGGGTGCTCCTGGAAAACACAGTTTTAACAGACCAGACACCAATTCTATTTTAGAAAATTGATGTATTTTAGATGGGCAGAACTGCAGACAGGGCAGCATGGTGATGCACAACTGCCTTACAGAGCTGGGGCCCTGGGTTCAATTCCTAGGGTGCTGTATGCATGGAGTTTGTATGCCTTCTCTTGTTTGCGTGGGTTTTCTCAGCTGCTCTGGTTTCCTTTCACAGTCCAAAAACACACTGTTAGGTTCACTGGTTTCTGGGAAACCGGCCCTGGTGTGAGGGTGTGTGTCTGCCCTGTGATAGTCTGGCATCCTGTCCAGGATGTTCCCCGCCTCGCGCCCGCTGTGCCAGATGGATGACTGTGAACAAACACACTGGAAACACATTCTGCGGTGCATCTCCAGTCCCCACCCAGGCTACAGGGAAGACTCCATTCCAGTATTTCTAGAACTCCAAGGAAAGGGACCATCTTTTTCAGGGAAGGGTAGGTGGGCCCCACCATTATTGTGCAGTAGTCTTTTTAGCCTCTGTAAGACCAGCCATCCAGATGTGTTTCTGCTGCGCGGAGAGATCAAGACTCACCATTCAAGACTAAAGGAGAGTAGTCCAAGCTCAGAACATGGTGGCACCTTCCCAAAACCAGGAGCCACCAACATTGCAGTAGGACCAGAGTATGTACAAGGGATTGGGAGAAATTTTATCTGCTAATCAGTACAATTTGTATTATTCCTAATAGCGTCCCAGCTGATATCCATTTGTCCCCACTCCCACCTGAACCCCCATGTTGCATACAGTATGTGCTGGCAAGTCTGTGTCCCAGGGCACTCCACAAACACGCTGCAGAAAGGGGAGGACCAAAGAGAAACACAACAGTGTACACTGATGTGCTGTAATTGTAACTCCTGAAAACTGTGAATGTGTGTCTCCTGTCTGCCCATAATGGAAAGCAATAAACTCTACATGGGTGCACACAATGCTAAAAGATAATGATGTGAAAGTGTCATTTCATTTCAGATCCTGTTGCACCTTACAATAATAAAATGCATAACATCAGGACCAAAGTCTAATTTCCACTGCCTGAAAGCAACACCTGAGTATGTCACACTTCAGATATCTGGTGTCTGTATGCTGATACTCTGCGCTCTTAGACAGGTCCTTACAAAATAGGGGCAGTATAGGAAAGCAAAAAATTGCAAGTAAAAATATTCTTTTTTCTGAAAGTGATATGGATTTGCAAAGGTAAAGGTGCACCCATTATTGTCTCCCTCCACCTGCCTTAAAATCTTGTTAAGATTGTAAATTGCAACGAAAATGAATATGGAGGTCATGCACGGGACCTTTGAATGTCTAAGCTAGTCAAGGTGCTTGCCCAAACACAGGCTGAGCTCTGTGGTTGTGGGTCCGAGGCTGGGGTTAATCAGCCATGGCTCACTGGGCTTTCAGCGACAGAATGACATGAACCCTGTGGCCTCCTCCAGCCAGTCCTGCACTGTCAGTACGGCGCTGTGTCTCCTTTTCAAGGGGCTCAGCGCTGGGCAAGGGAAGGAGCCAGTCCACAGCTCCTCAGGCTGGCCTGGGGTGTGGTGCGGGCTTGGGGAGTGGACAGCACTCTAGCTGCGAGCCGACGAACAAACAAGCAACTGGTGAAACTAAAATTGGGTGGGTGTAACAGAAATTTGAAGATGCTAATTTTCTTTTAAAAAAATGAATTATATATATTTAAAATTCTTAATCAACATCATGTTGAAAGGCAGGGCAAACCCTTCTCTTGGCATTGCACTGCCTCTGCCCAATTTCCCTGCTGTCAGTTCTGAGGGTGCTGTGAGGGGGGTGGTATTATAAATAGACATCGGATCTGTGGATTATGTTCAGATGGAGCAGGAATACTGTGTACGGACCCAGACCCTGTGTACGGGCTGGTCTGAGTGGCTCCCAGGACAACTTCTGCTTAATTTGCAGTAAAGGTGCTCAAATCTGCGCACAGTCTGAACTGTCTGATCTGACGATAAATGGGTTGCCCTTTTTGGATCCCTTCAAAATCCTCGTGGTCTATGTAGCACAAGAGATGTGTTGTCTTCAGTTACTGTGGTTACGCTGCTATAGATGCAGTGAAGCTTGCACGGCCCTGATAGACCTGTTTGCAAGACCAGGTATAAAATGGGGAGACACTGGTGAGCTGAGCAATTTTGGCCTCCTCCTTTAGTCCCACCAAACGAAGGCTGCAGCATGTCTCTGTCCACATGCATACCTTCTAATATTCACATTCACAGGTGGGAAGTTCCAGCTGCACCAGGCTGAACATGTGTTCGCAACTAGAGACAGTATTTTTCTCAAACACTAGCATCTTTGTCATCTGACAAAGCAGTCCCGACCCTTCTGCAGAGGCTACAGTTTGCATTTTGTTTCCTGACTGAAGTCATAAATCCATATGAGATCCCAGGCTTCGATGATTTCTGTAAGGTTTTCCTGTTTTGCCCTTACTGGTGTGTAACAGGGACCTGTCCGCCCAGAATTTCAACATTCTGGAATGTACTTCACACAATTAGAAAAAGGAAACTGGACAAATAGTGAAATATGATGCTGTTCTTCCATGGAAGAGTGGTGTAAGGGACTAGAAGAATTCTATTGTGCCATTGCTCTGTCAAGTCACATGACCTCATCCAGGGATTTTTTTTTTAATTCCAAAATAAATCACGCCAGTATAAATGTCTTAACTGCAGTAAACTACAATTCCCAAAGGAAATTGCATACAAACCCTGCCACATGCCCTTTGACACCAATTCTGTCCAGTGGCATAACTGCATTAACTTGCTACTCAAGGAGTTGTAAGTTCTGCGATGCGTCAGCAAAGTTAATGAATGGCACAGAATGCAGATTCACACATTTTGTGTTGTATTTTTAGACTATGGAATAATTCCAGTATTTGTAGGCCAATTTAACTCCAAGGGAACAGGACTGTAAATGGTTTTACATAACAAGCACAATTCAATGCTTCAAATACTGAGAAACTGGCCGGATCACTGTCCCTCACAGACCATGGCAGAGTATTACTAGACGTGGTCAGCTCCATTTACTGTTATCCACAACAAAAACACTTTGCTGTCAATTACAGTTCCCGACCTCCACAACACAAGAATGCTAATTTATCTGAAATGCTTTATTCTTCATTGAGAATGACTGCAACAGCCCACACCGAGTGATATTATAGGATCAGATTAATTTTGGAGGTTTCTTCTTTTTTTTCATCAATTCAGCTAAGCGCACCAGAAAAATAATCCAGAGTTTGGAATTCTGGAACCAAAGCAATAATAATAATCAAATGAGAGCACTTCCTGTCATGTGGGTGTGAGTCCTTAATTATCCTGAGTGGATTACAGGCAGGCACGCATTCTCCAATGGGCAGTAACCTGATATGCACGTCCTCCAGTGTATGATATTTGGATTTTGCTGGATAGTGGTATGATATTTAGGTCCAGACTGACATTGGTATGCCAAACTTCTTCTACAAATGTTCTGAGGTCATTTTACAAAGGTGAAAGCACAAAAAGAAACAGCACTATATCAAAAATATGGCTTTCTTACTGTGCGGGTGACTTGTAGGACATGTTTGTTCCCCTGCAGCTGAAAATAAGTCCAAAATACAGCTTTCGAATAGCACAAAACACATCCCATTAGGATACATTAATCTAATTTCCGGAACCTGCTTTTTATTTGAACTTGGACAGAGTAAATTAAAAACACCATCACCTCAGAAAAGTTAAAACATCACCTCCAGACAGGATACCGACCCACAGAGTGACAGGACAGAGAAACCTCCATGCCTCTTTGAGGAGACCCCAAGCCCACACGAAGAACACCTCCAGTGTCACCCAACACAACACCAAGTACTGTCACACAGACAGCTACTTACACGTCTCACTGCCTTCATCCATCTTTTATATCTGCGCTATTCATGTGAAAAGAGACAAGAGACACAACACAACAATAAACCCTTCAGTTAAACAGGAACCTGGGATTTGAAGGATTTGATTGTTCTTTCCCATAGACTCCCTAATATTTAGTCATTTAATTATATGAATTGATTTGCTTGAATGGTGGATTTCATTTTTAGTTCACAACATGAAAAGATACAATAATGCAAACTGCTGAAGGGTCTCAACAACAAGGGCTCAATCCAGTTTGGGAGATTGACAGTAAAGGAGGTTTTGGAAGACAGCACAGGTAGAAAAAGGCCCTTTCTTACAGTTCTGGAATCTGAAGGAAGTCTGGAACATGGGGATTCCAACTCCAATGATTATTTCATCATCATCATTACTATTTGAATCTACAGACGGCATGCCGAGATCTTCTTTTTCTGTGGCCCTATGTGTGACTGCACCACCTACTCTCTGTGCTCTCCACTTAGCCTGAGATTGCGCAGAGGAGCTCAAACATTCTGACAGCTGCACATGTTAGCACATTACAGCATAGCCATGCGGCTTTATTGGGTGCTGGGTTCACTGCCCCCTCGCCGTTCACAGAGCAGTGCGCTCTTACCTGCCCTGGGATCAACAGCTCTTTGTCGTCGATGTCAATCAGGACTTCGTCGCGGGGCGAGATGCTGATCTCATCTGGACGGAAGGAGAGAAAATCCTTTGCTCAAATACAGTGAGCCTGTTCCCTGATCCCCTCACACTGCGAGGGCATGAATCTGCTTCTGAGTGTGGCTCATAGCTCACTCACCTCCGTGTGTGGCAAAGGAAATACTTTCTGGCCAGAAAGAATAGGAAGGATACATCTGAATATATGAAGCACATTCTGACTTACTGTGTGGGTGACTCATAGGACATGTTTGTTCCCCTGCAGCAAACTGCTCATGTACCGCTGCTCGTTTGTCTGCTGCCAAACGTTTTTGCCCTTGAATGTCTCTCATCTGCAAACTGATCAATGTCAGGACTGCCTCTGTGTGGACTGCAGCCCCTGGCCTCAGACCTACCCTGCTGGTCCTCGCAGGAGTCCCTCTCCAGGCTGCCCGGGTGGCAGCGGTACTCCTCCAGGGCCCGGACGGTGCACTGCCCCACCACAGGCTTCCTGCCAAACTGCCTGTTGTCAATCACCTTCAGCACGATGGGAGGCATGTACAGCTCCTCCCGGGGCAGGCGCTGTAGTGGAGCGGAGGGGGTAAGGGTCAGGGAGAGGGCAGTGGAGACCAGGTCTGTGGTAGGAGTCACAGCAGTAGAGGCTAAAGAGGTACAGTTCAACGCTCTCAAAAGCGCTTGCTTTAAAAGACAAAGCACTACATCTCCTTTGCTTTTCATTCATTACAAGGATATCTTGGTTTGTCAAAACTGCTTTGTTTTCATCAGAAGGTAAGGAAAAAGACTGAGCCCCATCAAGAATCCCAATATAATCCATAACACAAATCCTGTATGCTCTTTTGCCTACAGGTAGTTATGGACATCATCAATTATCTTAAAATCCCATGACTTTCAACGGTTTTCGCAAAATCTCAGATGTCAGAATTTCAATTCCTCACAAGAAAGCAACTGGCATCAAACATATTTACACTTTAGAGTGCTGAAAAGGGTTTAATCAAAGTGTTTCCATTTATAACACTACAACATTCTTCTAGATCATTGTGAATCCTTGTGAAATGAACATAAACACAGAGGACAGGCATAACATACTCAAATGCATTATGAGAAGAGTGCTCCATGAACTAGCAAATGGATGTTATTTCTTTTACGGAATCAACTCACTTTCACTTTGGAGCCCCTTACTCAAAATATTTCTCAGGCTTGTATTAAAAAGAGGATCTAAAAATAATTCAAACATGCACATTTGGATTTTAAATACTGAGACACTAGGTGCATTAAGCACCTCATCACATCTTCATCACACTAACCTTTATTTTATATAATGCAGTTTCTGCAGGAGATGGTGTGGACAACCTTAATATTAGGTAACTGAGTTGTGCTTTGAGGAGAGAAGATGGTGACCCACTAGGAGCTCTGATTTTGCTCCTGGGATTCTCTGGACAGAGGGCAGCTCACATCAGATCTCGGATCTCCAAACCAACACCATCTGAGCCAAACCTGAACTCCAGCAAATTAAAAGCTTCTACTGAGAAGCTCTCAGTTTTTGTCTGTCGAGGGCAGGAGGCAGAGAGGATACTCACCACCTCCATGAAGAGGACATTGATGTCGAAGTTGGGCTTTTTCTTGACGCTGCGGATGACGCACGACTGCACCATCTGGCCCCCGCACTCCACCTGCAGGCTTGGGGAGGTCACACTGGCCAGCTGGTAGCTCTTCAGGTTCCTCACACCCCAGGCCAGGACCTGCAGGCCACAGGGAACCACAGGGGCATCACAGTCGAGCCACACGTGCAGCGAAGCCTGCAATCTCCCACGGCCCAGGTGCAGGGAGGCCATGGAGGAAAATTAATAATAATAATAATAATAATAATAATAATTGCTTACACTTATATAGCACTTTTCTGGACACTCCACTCAAAGCGCTTTACAGGTAATGGGGAGTCCCCTCCACCACCACAATTGTGCAGCACCCACCTGGATGATGCGATGGCAGCCATAGTGCACCAGTACACTCACCACACATCAGCTCTCAGAAGGGAGCCAGGGTGATGAAGCCAGTTCATAGATGGGGATTATTAGGAGGCCATGATTGGTAAGGGCCTGCACCCTCTGCCAGCACTCAGAATAGGTCCGGAGCCGAATGGAGAATTGAGTGACAGACACCGTGGGGAAAAGCTCAGGGAGAGGAATGGGGTGCTGAGGAGATGGAGCTGAAGTTGAGCCGCGCCAGCCGTGGGCAAAGTGCCAGGAGGAACAGGGGGGGAGGGCAGTACTTGCCTCGATGGCAGTTCTCTGCAGCACCGGCTTGATGCCCTGCGGGACCATGTAGATGTTGGGCTCTCGCTGTGGTGGAGGATAGGGCAGGTCTGTGTCTGCAGGCTGGGGTCAGAACAGAGACAGTTAAAACACTGAGGTGATCCTCACCCTCCGAACCCCAGAACCTCTGCCAGCTCGCTGCACAGGACTACAGGACTACAAGTGCAGATTGTAATATGTATGTAATAATGCACAGAAAGAAAAACAAGAAGCTTGTGTCATTTCATTCATTCTGCTACATGGGGACGAACGTCTGAGGAAGAATATGTGTGAATTCCGTTATTCGATGGGTGGAGCCGATCTGCTGTGATCTGCTGTGATCTGCTGTGCTGTGTATCAGCGAGCAGAAGCTGCACTTCAGCGTGGATGAGGTGGATCGCCCCTCTGTACCTGAAGCTCTTAAGGATGCTTTTAGATGAAATGTGCTTTGCAAATATAGATAAATAATTACTAATTAAAGATTGTTGCTGTGCTTTATGAAATTACAAGAAATCTAATGCTATGTCAGCACGTTGTCACAAACATAAGATTTTGCCATTGCATGGCTCTGTGACGGAAGCCAGACATTGCTGCAGAACCTATGACCTGCAGAGCGAGTGGCTGCTTCAGGGTGTGCTGGGATTGTTCATATCCAGCCCCTAATGTCAACTGTACCAATAACAATAAGAAGAATAGCACACCAGTCTGAAGTAGACACGTAAATACAAAACAAGAACAGGATTCTTACAACAAAGCACAATATCTCAAGATAAATAAGCCAGGTGTTGTATTAATTTTGTTGGTAATAAACAGATGGGTACAAATATGCGAAGAATGACAACTTCACGAAGCCATGAAGATTAAATACCCTGCACAAACATGAGGACGCAAGTAACTAACAGACATGCTGTCAAAAGAACAAAAATAATTCTATATAATTGTTTAAGAACTAGATTGCTTTTGGAATTAAAATTAGACTTAACACTAGATGTATAACGTTTTCAAGTCAGAAAGTTATTAAAAGTATTAAAGATGGCATATTTCACACAAATTGCATCACATCTAATTTTGACAATGCTGACAAATGATTTACTTATGAGCGGCTAATAAAAACCAGTAACACTGCAAAAAAAACATGTAGAGACACAGGGAAGACAGCATGCATGGTTGTCTACCAATCATATCGGTGTTGAAAAGATCAATTTCATTTCCAGATATTTACAAACAGCAAACCAGCAGGGTCAATGCGAGCAGAGCAGACAGGGATCGGTGAGCATGAGAGAGTAAAAGACGAGTCACACTGTGGTGAAAAGAACCGCTGTACAACAGAGACAGTGCCCTGCGCTCTGTGGCTGTGCAGTTGTGTGGGAGAGCTGAACTTTGCAGGAGCTGGGCTGAAAGAATGTATGAAATGAATTCTACCATTCCTGCTGTTGCAAAGCTTCATGATGTCAGTGAATTAGAAGCATGGCATTACAGTGTGCCGATTGCTTAGGTTTAAAGAATTTGAGGTTCATCAGTATTTGTATGTGACTGCTTAAGGTGCCATTTTGACACTGCATTTAATTACACAGTTCCTGTAAAATGAGAAGCCACAGTACCATAAGCAGTGTCTTTGTTATATCCATAAGCAGAGAGCAGACACTGCACTGGATCAGATGAAAAGTGCATTTAACATCAGCAGGTCTCTCCAATTCATTACCCAGTAATAGTGTCGCCAGTTCCAGATTATTTTCATTCTATACAACTTTTTAATCTCCCCATTTTCTTACATCTTACTTCCAAGCAGTTTCCACTTTTCCTCTGGTTCATATTTTATTGTTCACTCTGAACCAGTCTTCTGATTTTGTCAATGGCAATACAAAAAGCTCCATGGCCTCCGGTCCGTTGTATCCTTTCTACTATCTACTAATCTGGTATCAGAGGCCCTGCACATGCAGCACGGCTGAGGACACGGGGGGGTCAGTATGAGCCCATTACAGAGACGTGCTAAAGACTTGTTGATCTGATCCAGAGGCAGATCCCCTGCCCACACTGGAGCTGCTGAGGAGCTGCTGTGCTGTACCCATTGTTGCAGATTCCCAGAGAAGAAGCCTGGAAGAACCAGCTGTGAGGCGCCACAGACCCCAGAGAGACAGGCGGGGGAGAAGAGCAGAGAGCACATTACTATCTCACTATTCACTCCGACCAGTGTCAATGCATGTATATACAGAGCATTATCATTACACGGCTGTGCACACTTTCATTCCTCTAAACTTATTGACATGTCTGCTATGTTTGGGGTTGTCTTATATCAACTGTTACAATAGATATAACTGTTATCTATTATATAACAGTTATTTAATAGAAATAACTGTTTATTAAGGATACATTTTATTTAGGATAAACCAACATGAGCAAAAAAGAACATGGCTATTCATGGATAAATAATTATTCCATGATCATTTATGATCCTGGAGTACTCTGAATTCTGAAGCTCTTTAATGGACATGAAACACACTGGACCATTCCAGGAGTCTATAAGGCCAAAACCCCTCTGCTCATGCGAGACCAGAGTGGATATCTATTGAGCTGACATGGTGTGTGAGCCACTGTTCTACCTGGCAAAATACAACATTAAGAAATGAGTCAAAACTGAACTCAAGATGTGATTAATTGCACATGCAACACAAGCTATGGAGAGTGATTGATTGATTTTTTTTATTGTAAACATACATTGTTGATTTTCCTTAGTTTCTTAGCAAGATTTTTTTTTGCAGAGGGAATGATTGTTCATACAACTTCAGTACAAAGCAAAATACCCTGAAAAATGCAAACCTGGGAGTTTTCTGCAATATGTTTATTTTTTAAATTTAGGGAGATTCATCCATCTTTCCTTCCAATTCCAGTTGTCACTTTGCTTTATAAATGTATTCACAATATATAAACAGATTAATCAATCCTTATTTATCACCTTTTGGAAAGTTAATCTTGTATTTTTAGAGTGCCAAGAAGACAAATTAAGGGTCATTACTTGACTCTCACTGCTACAGTGTTGTAGATACTGAAGTGCCCTCTCTCATAGCCTGCATAACAGTTTGTCCTTAAACCACAGCCTGCTTCTGTGAAAAACCCCACAACAGCCTGAGGCAGGACTCACCTCATCCAGGGCTGGAGTGGAAATTGGCTCTCCCTGGAATTTCAAGCAGGAAGAATAGGGACACATAAAAAGCAAAGTCAGAACAACCAAAAATTATTTTAGAGCATTCATACATTTCTATGAGAAAGCTCATGCAATTTATTGCAATTCTTCTTATATTAAACAACTGCATTAAGTATTTGGAAAATCAATTTGTTTTACATAAAGGATATGTTAATCTTGTAAGGAAGGGCCTAATCAAAATGACTTAATGTTCATTACTGAAAGACGTGAGGAACTGATTTGCCAATGGAATAACAGGGAACATGAGGAAGGCCAGGTTGGGAAACAATGTGGACTTGGCACTGCCACTACTGGCACTGGAGCTAACAGCCCTCGGCTCATGAACTCTGATTTTCCCCAATTTACTGTTGTATCTATCGTCTATTACTACTCATATAAATTTGATTGAGGCCTTTGTCCAGAGCAACTGAAGCAATCTGAGTGCAGTATCTTGCTCACGGGTGGAGCACACAATCTCCCATATCTGTGTCCCTAACCACTAGTCCCCACCACGACAATGCCGTCTTTCATGACTAAGTGATGAGGAATTCTGTTTAATATCCCATCTTATGGATGGCACCTCTTATGCTCAGTGTCCCCGGTCACCACATGCGCTGGTCTGGGAATTCTGTCTGAAAGGGAACCAGTTGTGGTTTCCCTTGGAGCTCTCCAATCCCAGTACTGGCTGAGCCCTGCCTTGCAGAGCGTCTGTGACCTGACCAGATCAGGCCACAAGGTTGCAAAATTGCTGCCATTTTTAATAAGCTATTCTATGAAACCATTCAAGCATTAACTACGAACAAAAAAATCCTAATTCCCTTGCTGGCGAAATGCGCAAAGAGAGCAAATCAGTTTCACAAATGCAGGATCATCTGACAAGCATGTCACTCCTGGATGTTGTGTTTGGCACGTCACAAACATTAGAATGGATACAAATGAGAGGAGGCAATTTGGCTGGCCTTGCTCTCCTGGTTGCTACTACCTCATAGATCCAAAAAACTCATAATGTTTCCTTTTGTTTCTTTTTTAAGATCCTGCTAAATCAGCAAGTGCTATATGGCTTGGCAGTTTACTGCAAACACCCACATCTGTATGTACGAGGGCAGGCCTCCTGTTCAAAATCTGCTCCCAATTCATTTACCAATTCTGTGATGCTGAACCCTTTCCTGGCCTTAAATTAGAGATGGGGCTGCCTTCGCCACCGTGTCTTTGGGAATCTTGTGGAAAGGAGGCCATACAATTATTCTGCTTCTGCGAACTTCAAAGGTCACCACTCGGTGGGCTGCTGTCGACAGCACATCACAGGCAGAGAAGCAACAGCTTGATTAAAGCTGCGCTGGCCAGGCCAGGTAGATTTATGTCTTTGGTATTGTGTGTGGGAAGCTGTGTCCTCATGCAAGTGCTCAGTTTAATTAAGTTTCCCATTGATTAGCCAGGTCTAACAGTATGCAGCTGGGTTATAGATACGGGGCCACTCTGGCAGGGCTGTTTGGCATTTTGAATCCAGAAGACTTATAGGCAGATTGAGCAATTTGGCTGTATCCAGGTACAGCAGATTTGTCTGCCGACGTTGAGGAGTTGTGTCTAATTATCCTGCAAGGGTTGGTTGATTGAGGAGCGCAGTGCGGTATCCATAGGGAAGGGAGCCAGCCCCTCCTATAACGTGACTAACCTCCAGGCCGGGAATGTGATGGACCGCTGGCTGTGGGAAAGAGAGAAACAGTGGAGTTAATGAGTCTCAAATGAAGGCAATGACTTCATACTCCATTATTAAATTAGCTTCTAACTGCTGGGAAAGCAGGCTTTTCACATGTGAAAGCAGAGTCATCTTAAATCCGAGAGAGGGCCCCTGAGATATCGGCTGAACAGTAGATGCAGTGCGCAGGCTGGGACTGGGACTGTCAGTGGTGGTGCCAATAATTAGGAGGCACAGGGCCATCTGCCTCCACCACAAATGAACGAAGACAAAATCTCCAACCAGCCCGCCCACCTCGAGTTATCCCTGCTACCTTAAATATAACAAGCAGCTTTTTTACAGAAGAGGCAGGGAGATCGTGCCTGCAGGCTGCAGGTACTGAATACAGCTTGAGAGCATTCAAAATAGAAGAAATCCAGTTCCCAAAGGGGCAAAATTCAAATGTGCACACACTGTAGCACTATTTTTCTTCCTTTTGGCCAAACAATCCATACCAAAACAGAAGAGATGGGTCTTTAAATATAAAGAGGTTATTCTCATTTCAGGCCATAATGAATGTCATGAACAAAATTTACAATATAGCAGACATACTACCAGAAATGACATTCTTTGGCATGCAAATCAAAGTCAAGCAGGTATCTCTGATTATCTTACAACTACTGTAAATAGAATTAATTTAAGGAACAAGTAATCGGTTTATTCAATGCTGAAAAGAGATGATAGAAAACACAACATTTCGGCTGTGGAGCCTTCTTCAGGTGTGAGGCTTCACAGCCGAAACATAGTGTTTTCTCTCTTCTCTTTTCAGCCTGGAATAAACCTACTACTTGTTCCTTTGCAGGCTACGCATGCTGACGCAGTTACCCACCTGAACAGAATTAATTTAATCCCATTAAATGATGAGCATAATTGAATAACAATTAGAAATTTCTCTAAGTAGATAGATTAAATGACTATGGTGTTACATCTTTTCAACAGGAAAACAGGACTAATGACATTTACTGGTGGGCATGACTTCTGTCACATGCTTTCTGTCTGAAGCTAAATGTCTACTCGGCAAGCATCTGCCCTCACCTTCTCTCGGCGGATGAGCTCAAACGCTGCCAGCAGCTCCCCAGCAGTCTTGCCCCCCCGCTGCACCGGGTACCAGGCCAAGCGGGGGGGGCTACTCATGGCGGGCTGGCACACACAGAGACCCATGAACTCGTCTGCCCCCTGCAGGACACAGGCAGAACAACAGCCTCTCAGTGCAGGAGCAAAGCCTCCAGGCAGCCTCACCAGCCTGGGGTTCTTGTCACTTTCTGGGCACTAAAGCTCAAGGCAAAGTCCAAACCTCAAGCACATTTAGACATGGAAACAACTATTTCACAAGGACATGATGGTCAGCCTGCGATTCCTCTTCACACAAGCACTTGTAATACCAGTCACAGTGGAATCCACGCACAGCGGCCGCTGGCCCATGAAGGAAGACAATGCTGACAGGAGGGAGGTTCAGACGCAGACTCTCTAAAGTAAAGGCACCCTGACACCCTGGCGTTCTACCTTGGTGACTGGACCCTTTCACTATGCGATATCAGGTATGTTTCTTGTTGTTTTTTGGATACTAATGAGGTGGAAAACAATTTGGGTAGCAGCGTTAACAATGTCACAAACAGACAGGCACATGGCTTTTTTAAATCACATCATTATTATATCAACTTCCCTTCAGTTTTAAAGAGCTTCAGACTGTTTAATTTTAATATGACCTTGCCTGACATTTTATCCTGTATGTGTGGCCCACAGGCGGTGGAGTGGGGCAGTGGTCAGCACTGCTGCCTCACAGCACGGGGCCCTGGGCTGAATCCCTGTGGTGCTGTCTGTGTGGAGCTTGTCTGTTCTCACTGCGTTCATGTGGGTTTCCTCCCGCTGCTCTGGTTGCCTCCCACTGTCCAAAGACATGCTGGCAGGTTAATTGGCTTCCGGGAAAACTAGCCCAAGGGTGAGAGTGTGCGTTTGTGTCTGTGTTTGCCCTGCGGTGGACTGGTGTCATTATGGTCCCCTGCAACCCTGTATTGGATAAAGTGGTTTGGGAAAGGGATGGGCCGATGGGAGGAGGACCTACACTTCAACAGGAAGACGGTGAGAAAGCTCTCATTCCATGGACAGCAGGAGAGGTCCAAGGACACACTTCGAAGTTGTCTCGAGTGAAATGAAACCAGACATGGAATCTAATATACTGTGATTATAGCCAATGAGATCTGGCCAAAGAGGTGTTGTTATTTTCCATTTTCTCCTTCTTTCTGGTTATTAGAAAGAAGACATATTAGATTGCAAAGACGTTTCTTAAGACACCTAATGTTACTAAATTGGTAAGTTTCTGCTTATTTTGATGTAGTACTAAAGTAAACAAGCTAAGAGATAATGCATTTACTCCAATAATGTTTAGAAAATCTGCAAAAGTCTTGCCCCTGCTTCAAGAACAATACCTCTGTGACTGGTTATATTTAAAACCATCTTCAGATCAGCCCAGTTTGTGTATGTGCTCCATGGTACATCTGATTGAAACAGATGAAGACAGCACCAATGAACCACACACATATTACATGGAATCATTTCTTATAGAAGCAAGTAGAATTAACAGGACAAATCCCAATAAAGAAACCATACACCACGTCAGACTTTAACTGAAGAGACCATTTGTGCAGTGAGAAACTGCAATGATTATGAGGTAATGTCTTACTAGTCATATCTTGCAATCACCAGTTATTGCAAGTGTAGTATTAAGCTTAAAAAAACTTGTAGATAAGTACAAGAAAATAAACTTATTTTTGATATTGTTGTATCACATTCTATTTTATTTAGCATTTTCTGTATGTCTGTCTTGATTTCTTTGTCTATTTGTGCATGAAACGCTGCCTACGATCACCATTCCTGTTAGTCATCTGCAGAAAGACCTCATCTGAACAGCAGTACTGTACGAATTCACTGCAACTCACATAGGTGTCCTCATCAAAGATCTCCACCACGATGTTGGGGGGGTTCTGCTCTGTGACCTTGGGGTCCCCGAAGATCTCGATTTCGTAGAATATGAGGGTCTGGTCCCAGGTGGGGTTCAGCGTGTTGCGGATTGTCACGGTCTTCTGGCTCTGGTGGAGAAAGGACACGATGGCGTAGGGGTCTGTAGAAGCAGGGTCACAGATACGATGGTTTAGTTAGTTAGAATAGTGGATTCTAAAGCAGTTTAAGGCAGACAAAAAAATCCATAAATTTCCCAAATAAGAGAAGATGCTTTATTTTTAAAAAGAGAGTGGGAAGCTCCACTGGCTTGTCTGCTGCAAAGCAACAAGGGTCAAATTCTAGACTGAACAGAAAAGGCAAAGTGCTTTTCGAGCACTGTGATCCTCTTCAGGAGTGTGTCGGAAAGAGGGAGATGACAGGAACATGAGCCGTTGTATCATACGGATGAAAGTAAAAAGGAGATTTATCCACTGAGAAAACATTTTTTGTTACAGTTTTTAAAGGTTTTGCTACGTCTTAAGAGGCTTTTTCCTTTTTTTTTAATTCTATAATCGTTTCAGGCTGCTAATCTTGTAACGCTGCACCCTGATGAAAGTTAGTGTCTCTAAATTGATTGTTGCTGCTCTTTATCCCTTTCTCTGAATTAACAATGCTGTAGAAAGCTTTTCATTGGATCCTTCAATTTTCGACATACTGTATTGTCAATCAAAACCAGAAACCGCAAAACAGTCATCTAATCCCCACTCCTCACTTTTTTTCAGTCGGAAACAAGCAAATGCGTTGCCAAAGGTTAGTCAGAAACTGAATTCTCAAATCCTAAAACATCAAAAAGGAAGAAGCCATGCTTTCTTTTTTGAAAACCTTTTTTGTTAAAACATATTCCAAAACAAGAACAAAAATAAATAACATAAAAGCCATAGGAATGCCAAAACCTCCATCAGAATAAATTCCTTGGTAGTTTATTATGTTCAGACATGTAAATGGGTGCCTGGGGATTGTTTCACTTGGAAAAATCAAAGCAGCTTCGCTAAGTGCAGGCTAACCTTTCCCCTTCGTGAACACGAGCTTTAAGGAAAGAAAAAAGAGAAGCATTAAATGTTTAGTTATTTTTTTTAGGTTGGGTTTAAAAATGTTCCTGATTTAATTTTGTAAAAATAAATGCGCTGATATCCTGTGCCTGTGCCAGCAGTGGAAAATGGTGCACAGATCTGAATCAGGCTCAGAGGTAATAACAATAAACAGACAGTGTGGGGCAGAGACAGCGTCCCCAGGGGCCTGGCATCCTTCCGCAGTGTAGGGTGCCATTGTTGTGTGGGGATTTATTCTTCTTGTCAGCTGCAGTAATTAAACAGCTTTACTGGTAGCGATATTAGACTGGTCTGCAAAACCTAGTTGCCGTAGTCCATACAGAAAGAATGATCCATTTAACAAGTTCTGAACCTTATGGCTATTTTAAGAACTACAATTTTCATGGAAAACCCAAAGTATCTGTGGTTTACTCCAAGAAAATATCAAAAGAAAGGGATTAGGAATCAGAAGATGACACTAACTTTTTTTATTTATAAATGAATCATGCTTTATAATGAGCCTAAGTATAATCCTCTTATTTTTAAATTGGTTTATAAGATGTAATAATTTAATGGGCAGCAGAAGCTTGTTTCCATTATCTTGTCGCTTAATGGAAAAAAAAGCCATTCTTTCATCAAGTCTCTTTTCCACCAAATTAATATTGCGAATCTCTCTTGTCTAGTGGCAATCCATCTTTGTTGATGCAGTAAAAACAAAACAAAATTTAGGGGCGCTTGTGAAAAAAAGCCCTAGCTTTAGTTTTTGCTTATTTCAGCAAATTGTGAAATTGCTACGTACTGTAGCACATCCCTAAAGAAATTACACAAAACGTAAGCACAACATTATTAAAAAAGCAGTTCTTTAGCAATGAACTCGAACATCTGGCCTAAATGCTTTCTCATTCTTCAGCTGCATGTACTGTGGACTTCGAGATGTATTCCACAGCTCCTGCGAATTCCAAAGTGCTATCGATCCAATGTGACTTGAAGCCTGACATCTTTTCTGTTTCCATTCCACACAAAACCAGGGTGCCTAATTGACATTGTCAGGATGTAATTATCTGGGTGTTTCGTTAATTTGCTGATTACAGAACCTGTGCCTGAAATTGCCCCTTGGGCCAGAGAACACTAGGCACTGCCCCAGAGCCGCCCAGAGGAGGTGTGCTGATACCCATGTACTCTACACACGACACTGTAGTGCCATTTAAAAACTTGTTTTTCCAAATGAAACTCTCACTTTCCCAATGAAACCGATGTGTGTGTGCATTCTTGCAGTATCATGTACCTCTTCAAGGATAGTCTCATCCTCATACTTATTTGTCCCTGTATACAGCCTTTCCTTACTTAACCTCCTTTTGCTCTGTATTTCTTTTGAAACCGTTTTGTGCCCTGAAATGTGCATCTTCATCCACCATGCAAAGTGGTTTTCAGCTGACAGGTCCCTGGACTCCAATAAGGAAAAAAAAACTCTCAGACACTCAAAGCCCTTCAGAGTGAGCAGAGTGAGCAGCACAATGTGACGGTAGTTACAGCTGCTGCCTCACAGCTCTTGAGTCAAGTGTGTAACTGTGGACAGGGCACCTGCTGTTTGGAGTTTGCATGTTCTCCGCCAGTTCCCTGGAATTTTTAGACAGTCTTGTTAATGTGCATGTTAGTACCACTTGATGGACTGGCGTCCCAAACCAGATGAATCCTGTGTCTATTGTCTGTTTTGGACTAAACGGCTACTGATAATGGATATAATGGATGGTTGGACAGAAAAAAGTGTTTGAAAAGGACTGGGATTCCTCACTGCAATGTGCTTTAAGAAGCAATAACTGAGCGATGGCTGGAAATGCAATGGTGGTGGTCAGCAACTGTAAAAAGGTACTGTAAAAAGAGTAAAAAGATACAGAATAAAAAGCACTGGTAATGAGAGAGCAGAGTTAGGGTCACATGCTCTTACCTAGTAAGAGGAAAATTATTTACTTTCTTTCTGGGTCCAAATAGTATGATATAAAATACAGGGTGCAAATCAGTCCAGTAAAATGGCCCTCTGACAGCTTTTTAATTAATAAACCAGTCCACTACATGAGCAGCCTGAGATAAAACGATACAATTCATTTGGCTACCTCGACAGTTCTGAGAAATAACGTGTTAGCTTGCTAATCCTTCATATGCATTCCTCCATCTCTCTGCTGTCTGCTGTCTCTCCTTCTCCACAGCAAAACATGATCTGCCCATCGTGGTAGGACTGAAGCCATGCCAGTCCTGCGGTTACCTCACTGCTGTCTTAATGTAGGATTATTAATGAAAGAAGACAGTGACAGGGCGATTAGCATCAACTTCTATTAAGACAGGGTGATGAGAAAATGGCAAGAGATTCCCAGCCAATTCAAAGCTGGTGCTTAAAGGGGAATTAAACATGGGTTTGTGGAATGGGACCAGCGCACAATAGCTGGGCACACACTTAGCGAACACCATGTTTCCAGCCCTCATTCACTGAACTCTGCAGACGGTTTCAGTGCGCCTGGATCAACAAGTTGCTCGCAACCATGTTAATATGACAACTGGAGCGACTGCACCTCACTCAGTGCCTACACTGCTTAATGCATTCCTTTACACACTGGCTACCTCAGGACGGTGGTACAGCACACCAGCTCTCCCCAAGCAGCATGGTTTGTGCTCTAGCCCTGACCTTTCAGAGACTGGGAAGAATGACTCAGACTGTGGGCTGGTTTTGCCACAGCTGTAAATCTGATGCTATGTGCTTTGAAAGGCTTGTGTCTTTCCTCCAAAAACAGCAATCCATGCCAGAGCAGTATTTTACTCAGTCTTACATCAGCACTCCGTATTACTGCTCTTATTAAGTCTATTTATATTTTTCATCCACTTTCATGCTGTGTAATGTGACCTCACAGCACTTTAATGAAAGACTGTTACTGAGATTCATTTCTTTCCTCTCTTTGAAGCACAAAATTACTCCATCCAATTTGTAGATCGGTAGAGGAAGTGACTGTAATATTTGAAAATGTTAACAGAAAAACTTTTTTCTCATTTGAACATCCATCAATTTTCTTACCGCTTTCTCTAACACAGAGTCATGGAGGAGCCTGTCCCAACAAGCAACAGGCGCAGCAGGATACCAGTCCAGTGAAGGGTACACACACAGACACACACACACACACACACTCACACCAGGGCCACTTTTACAGAAGCAAATTCTATCAGCATGTCTTTGGACTGGGAGAGGAAACTGGAGCACCCAAAGGAAGCCCATGCAAACACAGGGAGACCATTCAAACTCCACACAGACAGCATCCCAGGAACTGAAGAAATGCTGACCCCTGTGCCACCTCACCACCTTTTTATTTTAGTGAGTAAAAGGGTGCCGAGACTACGTGCCTGAGAAGCTGTCCTTGTCCATCGCGACGAGCTCCCTGGCCTGGTACATGTAGCATCGCAAGTGGTACCGGGTTCCACCTGCAGGGCGACACAACACCGATACTCTGGCACAAGGTACTCACAGCACATGTCATGGCAGCCAGCAAACACACTCAGGTGTTTTATTATCAGTTATGTAATATTTTCAACTGCTCTTTACTGGTTTTGTCCTGTTGTAGCTAGGAGCACCTGTTCAGAACAGAACTGCAGTCTGTGAACCTGTCCTGATGAACGCAATCTCTTTCTAGGTTGAACTGATAAAATATTTGACTGACATTGGTTTAAAATTAAAGCTGTTTAAAGAGACAGACAGTCAGATGAAATGTTATTAAACTTTTCACATGCAATGATTAATTTTTTCCCTGTAGTCAGAAGGCAGGCTAAAATGTCTAACTCCCCTGCCCTTCAGAAGATGCCTGGTCAATTATTCTTGATGGTCGTATTCTAGGAATACTATTCCTATTCTATATATAGAATTGATCCTAAACTGCACAATTGTTCAAGAAATCTTGTTGCCTCCCAGACTTCACACAAAAGAGGTCCGGGCGTTTGGCCCGTTTTCATTCAAGCTCGGAAAATAATTTCAAAGCAGCAAAAAGGTTCAGTGGGACCAGTACTGGATGAAGGAGAAAATTAACATCACAAATCTAAACAGGGTAGGTGGTTTTTCATCTGCCTGTTGTGGAGGACGGCATCACACTGGCTGGTTTTCTTTTTTCATAATGTCCTACCCGGGTGTAGGAATTCTGCAGAGTATGAGAACCCAGGCAGGGCAGCGGCCCGTGATCCCAGTGGAAAGAGGGACTGGAAGAGAGGGAACATTCGCTCTTCAATAATCACAGGCTGGCCAGCCCTCCCAGTGGCCACCTGCACTTCAGTGGCACTGGCACAGTGGGCACGAGCCAGCTCTGTAGAACTGATGGCATTGCGAACTACAGTGGAGAGTGTGTGGGGACACTAAAGAAACTTCTGGGAAATGATCTCGGGCAAATTCGGTTACTCATCGTTGCTCCCATTCTTTAAAACTCTTGATGATATCAGTGGGAAATAATGTATCTGATAGGTCTGGTAGTTTGTTGTAGTTTTCATACAGTTGTTTCTTGAAAAAAATAGCATGTCAGCTTTAACAACATGGCTGAAGAGCTTGTTCCACACTCCCACAACCCTCGATGTAAAAAAGAGCCTCTGGTTCTCTGATTTAAATACACTTCCACATAGTTTCCACCTGTGCCCTCTGGTGCACATTTCATTGCTTCAGGAGAGTCCTAATCAAGGGTTCACGTGATATTAAGCTTATCCAAAAACAGGCCTGCTCTTAATGTAGCGCTCTTTCAGCCAGTTCAAGTGAAGCAGGTGTGTGCGTTTCTCTGCTCGGAGCTCAGAGCCCCTCCGGTGACGGTCTCCAGTCAGCCCTAACTGGGGGCTGGTACTCACTATCAAACATGCAGGAGATGGTGGGACGGTTCACCCCAAAACTGGCAGTTGCTGATTTCTCATCGCTCTTGTCTTCCAATACACCTCCCTGGTAAAACAAAGCAGAAGCTTTACGAGGGACAGCAGCCTTTCTCCCTTGCTAGTCCAATGAGAAGCCATCTCCAGCCTGAGTCACCCTGGTCTGCAGGGATCAGAGCACACCAGGTAAGTTAGAAGACAGAAAGAAAGATAAACTGTGGATAGCTGCTCTACAATTCACGATTCTTAGTTCTTTCAGTTTCTAAAGTGTACCCTGAGAACTACTGCCGAATGGTTTGTGAACCACAGAGCTGGAAGACATCACAGTAGTCTGAGCATCTGCCAACACAGGAATGCTACAGGAGCACACAACAAACACACAACAACAGGGCTCTCACAACGAGAATACAACACTGCGGCTCTCACACCAAACACACAACACCGGGGGTACCACAATGAGCACACAACGCCGGGGCTCTCACAACAAGCACACAATGCTGGGGCTCTTACAATGAGCACACAACACTGGGGCTCTCACACCAAGCACACAACACCCTGCCTGGGTTCCTTTCAGCTGAGCACTTGCCCACAGTGGAGGGGGAGCTGAGGCCCTGAGGATCTGTACCCAGCAATAACCCAGAGCTCTGAGCCCCCTGACCAAGAAGTGCCCAGTTGCCTCCTCAGAGCTGCGCCCCTCTGCTTCGGTGGAGAGGGTCAACAGTTTTAAAAATCCTGGGAGTTAACATCACAGAGGACTTAACCTGGACCCACCACACCAACACTGTGGTCAAGACAGCACAGCAGTGCCTATTCTTTCTCCATAGGCTAAAGACGTTCGGCATGCCGTCACATAACCAGGCAAACTTCTACAGGTGCACTATTGAGAGTATCTTGACTGGTTGCATCACTGCCTGGTGTGGGAGCTGCTCCGCCCGGGATCGCAAAGTACTGCAGAGGGTGGTGAAGTCAGCGCAGCTCATTACCGGCTGTGAGCTACCAAGCATCCAGGATATCTACTCAGCTAGATGTCTTGAGAAGTCAATTCTCAAGGACCCCAGTCACAAACTGTTTTCTCTCCTACCGTCTGGTAAACGGTACCAAAGCATTCGGTCCAAGTCCAACAGACTACAGAACAGCTTCTACCTCCAGGCAATAAGACTGCTAAATAGCCAACCTGCAGTTCCTTCAGCAAATCACCCCTAATGGCTATATGGACATACAGTTTTCACTGTATTCGGCATATTGCACTACTTGGACATAATGTATTGCAAGTAATAGGTTTATTACATGCTGAAAAGAGAAGAAAGAAAACAGAACGTTTCGGCCGTGGAGCCTTCTTCAGGTGTGAGTAAGACAGGGCAGTAGGCAAAGGTAATGTAGCGGGAGGACAAAAGCTGGGAGAGAAGAGGGGCAGGAGCAGGGGACAGAAAGAGAGGCCAGCAACTACTGCTGCACGCTGTACTGTTGTGCATTTGATGAAGAAACTTTGATTGATTGCCTCCGCGGGGGGGTTAGTCATACCAGGGACCCCTCCAGGGCGAAGACCGCGGCCGGGCCCGTCTTCTCCAGCGGCTCCATGCGGCAGCGCCAGCGCCGGCGCCGGAAGGTGTCAGTCTTGCGCTGCTTCAGGCGGAACCTCCAGCCAAAAAGCGAGGCGTACTCCCAGCCCTCGCGCTCCGTCTCGTCCGGCCGCTGCTGCAGGGAGCGGGAACGGTTTG